TCTTAGGACCTGGCCATCTGAGGAAGGCAGGCAAGCCAGCCGGGCAGGTTCAGGTTCACCCCGTGGTCGTGGGGTGCAGGGACTAAGCCATCTTTCCTCTATCCCCCACTTGCAGCGTCCTTCTTGTTGCCACTGGTTTGTCAGTCCCCAACCAGGTGAACTTCCCAGGCTCCGAATACGTGGAAGGCTACGACTCGGTGTCCATCGACCCCGCGGACTTTGAGGGCCAGAACGTGCTGATCCTGGGCCGCGGGAACTCAGCCTTTGAGACAGCAGAGAACATCTTGGGAGTCACCAACTTCATCCACATGCTGAGCCGCTCCCGGGTCCGGCTCTCCTGGGCCACCCACTACGTGGGCGACCTCAGGTACATGGCGGCCTGCCGGCTTCTCCGCTCCGTCCCTGTTAGCGCCGGCCACCTCAACCCCTCACTAGCTGGCCTCAGAACCATGGCCACATGTGAGTCCATGGCTGCAGCTGTTGTGTCAATCCACACGCTGCCAGGGACACCCTGGAAACAATGACAAGCATGGGAAATCAGAGTCAAATCACTGCGAGGATAAAACCCCCGCAGCCATTGGGTCATCTCGGACTAACCTTTCCGAGGCTGTAAATCTCTATGGGAGCAGACAGCCTGGTGTCCTCCCGCAGGACAGCCGTTGGGTTTGAACCACCAGCCTTGCAGTTAATGATCCGACACTGACTGGTCAGTACCACCAGAGCCCCCACTGGAAAGGCGATAACCAAGAACCGCCCCCACTCATGGTCGCTGAGTCAGAACCGACAGACGGCTCCAGAGTCACAGTGACACACCGTATGTTGGCTCCGGCGGCCAGCTCTACGTAAGCTGTGGCCCCCACAGAAACCTTTCTATCTGGAGACCAGCCCTTAGAGCTGGTGCCCCCAAAACACACTCCCAGGAGGTGCCGATCAGATCCCCAACCAGCACTCGCTCTTTCTGTGGGAATCTGAGCTGAAGGACCGGTGGGAGGCCGCAGAGACAGCTCTCCAGGCTGACACTTAGTGTGTGTGGTGGGGTGGGACCGCCTTTGTTTGCCTGGGGAGATCTCAGCTCCCTGTTGTGGGAACAACCACCTTCATTACCATCCCACCAGGGCTGGCGGGGTGGGAGGGGCGAGCCTCCCCATTTTCCAGATGAAGAACTGCGTCTCCGAGACCCGGAGTGGCGTCTGCCGTATCACACCTCGAACAAGGGCCAGTCTCCCTGCCTCTAAAGCCTGTGTTCTTCCCACTGCACCACACTGCCCTCCCTTCCTGGCCATGAGCCTCCTCGGGCCTGGCTCCAGGCACAGCTTCGTGCAGTGCTCATCTTTCCACGCCATTTCCAGGGGAGGTAACCCAGGGAAGAAGGACCAGGCCCATTAGGATGCTTGCCTTCAGGGGCAGGTGTGTAGCGGAGGCACAGAAGCGAGCAACATGGACAAAGGTTAGGGAACGGGGTCCATGAGGACTGCTCATGGCCTTCCTGACGGCCTCCTGGGTCCCTTTTCCAGCCTCATCCATGACTACACCACTCCGCTGTGGGCCAGCAGGGCACACACGCCAACTGCTGCCGCCTGACTGGCCAATATCCCCCGCAGCAGAAAGAGCAGGAGCTGGGAGTCCACCTCTGGTGTTCACATTCTGTGCAGATGCTTTTAGGAGCCCTGTGCCTCAAGGCCTGTATTCCCTCATCTGTAAAACCAAAAAAAGCCCTCCCAGGAGTCATAAGACGCACACAGCAAGCACACAGCGCGGGGCCTGCTCGGCGAACTGCTCGGCATGGGGCCGAAGCCACCAGGCATGTCAGAAAG